ATCAACACTGCCACCCTATCAGACCACCATTACAACCACTACAATCAACACTGCCAGCCTATCAGACCATCGTTACAACCACTACAATCAACACTGCCACCCTATCAGACCACCGTTACAACCACTACAATCAACACTGCCACCCTATCAGACCACCGTTACAACCACTACAATCAACACTGCCACCCTATCAGACCACCGTTACAACCACTACAATCAACACTGCCACCCTATCAGACCACCGTTACAGCCACTACAAACAACACTGCCACCCTATCAGACCACCGTTAAAACCGCTACAAACAACACTGCCACCCTATCAGACCACCGTTACAACCACTACACTATCACACCGTTACAACCACTACAATCAACACTGCCACCCTATCAGACCACCGTTACAACCACTACAATCAACACTGCCACCCTATCAGACCACCGTTACAGCCACTACAAACAACACTGCCACCCTATCAGACCACCGTTAAAACCGCTACAAACAACACTGCCACCCTATCAGACCACCGTTACAACCACTACACTATCACACCGTTACAACCACTACAATCAACACTGCCACCCTATCAGACCACCGTTACAACCACTACAAACAACACTGCCACCCTATCAGACCACCATTACAACCGCTACAATCAACACTGCCACCCTATCATAAATTACTGGACGTCGGCTTTTCACGATATCCAAAATAACACGCATTGCATAACGGCTTGTTGACACAACTGAAGGAATTGGCTATCATACTGTCACTTCTTTATTTTTTGAGGATAACATTTTTGGTAGGGTTTTTTTAACCAATTCAGTCGGGGTTTTTTTCTTTTTCTTTTTTTTTTTTTAACCAATCTGTCTCTGCATGCAGGTCTATATTGCTCGTCCTTCCATGGTATGTTTCCTCAAGTGCCCTTTTGAGAAAGATCGATGGCGTGCTTGAAGATCTATACAAACCTCAGTATGACTTGTAGTCACCATTCCCTCAACYTCCATCTCTTCTAGCACGGCCACGACATCCCATTTAGCAAGAATATAAGTAGGATAGATGTCAGACTTAACACTGTCACCAAAGAAAAGAACCTATTGGACAAGAACACAATGAGAAAGTCTTGTGAAGTAAGCTCCAGTCACCGCTCGTGCGCGAAAATACTCAATTTGACAAATACTAGCCTGCGAAGCCAAGCGTTCCTAACCGCTCCGAGAGAGTTTGGGCCGGAGAATCTGGGTTTCTTAGACCCAAACTGTCTCGGAGCGGCTAGGAACGACTGGCTACACAGGCTAGACAAATACGCGAGTGTTTGCCGTCCTGTCCTCCATTAAGTAATATAGCACGCTTGATCAGGGCAAGAAAAAGGTAAGGCACAAAACGGTTGCGCGTGGAGACTGATAAGTCTATAATTCAACTGAAGTGGGTACTGCAGTAGTTTGATTTTCAATATAAGGCACAAAAATGTGAAGAAAAAAATATAGAAAAGAATACATCCCCAGTGGGATTCAGAGCTGCCGTCGCTTTGTAGTAGCACTTGTTTTAGAGTGGATTTCGTATGAGTAGGAAACGGACGGTACTGTACTGTGACCGTAATCGTACTGTAACCAAAATTCTAGTGCCCCATTGGTTCACAAAAATTGTGCAGGCCAGGTCCGGTAACTGGCGGTAACCGTGCGGTAACGGTGTCACACTCATACGAAATCCGCTCTATGCCTACGCTTATGATTCTTGATGATTATTGTGTTATGTCATATGCTTGATTTTATGCCTTTATTATCTCCTGTTTGCTGGATATGATCACATGTTAGTGAAAAACTGGCTTGTCTCTCCCACACGTTTGAATACCATTCACATGTTATACCAGGGTCTTAATGGGGGGTCTCAATGTCGCTAGTCGGTTAACCCCATTCAGACCCAGTTATACAGTTTACCTTAGGGTTCTCCTTTTCTGACCACAATTTYARATACTTCTTAAGCATTTCCACGTTCCCCTGGGAGTATGTTTTGTGCAGTTTCAGTTCTTCAGCTTCTCTTGTTTCCTCCATGCCCTCTGTGATGTGTAATGAAGTAGAGTGCACGTCACATAAGCATGAAACAATTCTTAATATGTATTGCTAAATAAGATTTAGTTGTCAACTAAATAAGAATTCAACAAAGCATAAACACAATGCCAATTATTAAAAATTCCTTTGTAGCATTGTTCTCAATTCTTAGTTAGTTGATAACTAAATCTTATTTAGCACTACATAGTTAAGAATTGTTTCATGCTTATGTGACTTGCACTCTAATAACTATTAATATTTTGATTAGTGTCTTAAATTGAAAGGTCAATATACGAAACATGTTTCATTGAAAGTCTTGGTCTTAGTGTGTCAAAAGAGATTGTTTAAAAATAAGTTCACATGTATCATGAAGATTTCTTAGAACAGATTAGCATAATTGAGAACCGTGGAACCTGCTCCTTGCCTACCAAGCTAAAGTGACATCCGTGTATGAGTAACAAGTGATGTCTCGTGAATCAAATAGATATTTAAGAGATGTTTGTAGGTAAAGCTGTTTTATGCGCATCTCATTTTGGCTTTCAATAAAAATGGAAGAAAATACTCACCTACTTCATAAAACGGGATAGCTTTGCCAGATTCATACGGCACAAAAAATCCTAAAAAGAAAAGGAAAAAAAATTACAATAGAAAACAGAGAAGTGGACGATTTGAACATTCATTCTCCCTTCAAGAAAAACAAACGAAACAAACCTGGTTTACTTGCTCTGCAAAGGACAATGTCAAAAAGATCCCTCCAGTCATTCCTACAATGAGGATAATTCAGTTACACAACTGGGTCCGCTTGTGAATAGCGAGCTATCCAACTGATGAATCCTTATCCAGAGTGTAAAACCCATACAAACCCATACATAACTTCCTTCAACCTTTGACACTTCATCATAAAATTATCTACGAAATTTAACAAACTGCGCACGGTTGTGTGTCCTCTACTTGAACTTTAGAATAATGTAGATGAGAGCAGTATACCTTATAGGGCATGAAATGAGGAAAATTAAATAAGAGAAAAAAGATAATGGAAGAAGAGAAATGGGAATGAAATAAAAGAAAAAAATAAAGGACAAATTAACAAATTAAAAGAACAAAAACAAATGAGTAGGAAATTTGACTATAACAAAGTAAATTCCTGTATTATTGAAGTCCCTTTTGACTAAATKTTCACTGACCCAACGGCGTATTCCAGGACAAAGCTGGCGTAGTCGATGTAGGAGTTTGTAACAAGTAACACTTTTCGGTTTTCTCCTCGCAGGGCTTTGATCCAGTCAATGAGTTTTTTTGAACACTTTTGGATGTATTTACTTGGCGATTTGACCATTGTTTCAAAATAGTTTCCCTTTTTTGCTGAAATGAGTAAAAAAAACGTTATTCGTACTGATGGGTACCTTATTTCAGCAAAATTGGAACGAGAATATTTTGCGGGTATCCATTTCAGTCGCGTTTTCAGAAAACAACTGCAGCTTTAAATACAACTACATTGGCGTTTTTGGGTAAACATTCTTTGGCGGATCTTTAATTTTGAGATTTTTTTACAAAGCGCGAAAATCCCGAAAATAGAGACGCACGAAGAGTATTATGAGTAAGGTAACTCATTCATTTCTTTTCTTTTTTTTAATCACAGGTTTTGAAAGACAAACTTCCAAAAATCTTAAGAACCTTGAAGCAATAATGATCATTTCTGTAGCTTTGCCCGCGACAATAACTTCTTCACGTTTACTAGTATTCAAAATCTGTGACGTTCAAAACGACYAAGGTCTCGTGATGCAGTTAATTCTAGTGGACTCTGTAGATCCGCTTTCTTGCGCATGCTYACCTGCAAATGAAGAAGGGCTGAAAATCAAGATCATGCCATCAAGAACATCCTGCCAAACACTTTTATAATTACATGGTTTTCCATCCTATGAAGAAATATAAATGTACCATTGCACTAATATCAGCATAAAGGATTTCATGAAACTTTCTATGTCATATAGGCAAACTTTTAGCAGTAATATTAGTATTTACATGTAACTCAAAGGGATCGCGTCAAATGTAATGTAAGATGGCCCTTTAATACCCCACATTGAATATTTTTAGGAAGCCCAAGAAAAGACTGCATTGGACATGCTCTTGCTTGTTTAGGGAAGGATATACAAACAACTGTTACTTTAATACTTTAACATTTCTTCTGTAAAACTCAATCTGCCTTAGTGTGTACGTGGCAAATATGTCTCTGTACTGTGGATAGCTATGTGAGTGGTCAGGATTTTTGAAAATGATGGTAGKATGTCATACCTTGGCATCAATATAATCAATAACGTTAGCAGCAACCAGTGAAGAAGGGAGATCAAAGAACGTTTCAAACTTCCTGAAATTAACTTTGAAAAATGCCAAAAAATATTTCAATATATATATATTTTTTAAATATTATTTTTATGGCAATTGCATTTCTCAGGATTTTTGGACATGTCATCACTTTCTTCATAAATACATAGTAACTAGATTTAAGCTGCTTTCAATAACTTGAAGTTTAGTTGCTCAAAGCCTGATTTACATGTAGCATTAAATTAATCAAGGATTTTTTTAAGAGTTAATCCAGAAACGCTAAAGAAATTAGAACAACCAGGCCCTGGCTAGCTACATATTGTATCTAGTCATCGYTWGTTATTACGGGTTGTCAAAGTGAGCTAATATATCCTGACTGGCTGCCTGATTCTCATTCTCATTTAGACTTKCCACAAGTCAGACTAAGGGTCTCGGTGAAAGTCTGCAATTGATCATGCAATTATTATCCATAGATTCATAATCAAGTACTGGCTCACTAACCAAATGATTGTGTAAAAAGATAAATTTAACACTGCAAAAAGTAGGCAAAACAACTAACTGACATTTAGGAGGTTAATCCTTCAATTTGATGTAAGTAAGTTGTTTCACTACTTTTTATAAACTTTTTCTTTAGAAACACTGACGCAGCTCACACTAGTTTACTGCTAGTTTCCACCATTTTATCCAAATGATTGATTGCCGACTTAGGTTTGTCATCATGGCTGACCTAGTCTCCTCTCGCAGCAGTTATGAGGCTAGTTCCAAGCTCTCTAGAGACTTGGGAATGAGCTTTATAATAATGGTGAGAGTACACTATGACAGACCTTACGTCAGACATCACGTCTTACCAATGGACCTGTGCCTTTTAATCATGGACGACTTTATTTCACCAAACAGTTTGTATTTTCTTTTCATGCCATAACATTCTACTATCTCCTCACTTGTCAAGCACTTTGTACCATGAGATGCTCTATCAAAAAAATAGTCAATATTCAAATATTTCAGAAAATAGGATGAGAATAAAAATGGGAAATAATAAACTGTGAGTGCMAAAGAAAATGAAAAACATCAATGTCTATTGTAAAAAATATTTTTTTATAAGTACAAGCAAACAGACATTATGAATGAATTAGAAACTAAAACTTAAATGAGAAAAAGGAAAAAAGAAGACAGAGATATTTCCAAGTCAAAAAATTCTCTTGTTTCAAGCTTCCGATATGTTTGGGACAAAACATCACATGTTATATTATCTATGACCAAAAAGCTTCCGAAAAAAAAATGGAATTACCTTAGTATACAGCCATGTTTATCCAGCTTTAAAAAGTTGCCATTGTCAAAATCAAGAACTAATCCCCTCAAGCTGGAAGATAAAGGCAAGCTTGAATGTCAATCACCCAGGTGGGGACTCCCTTATAAAGGTTGGTAAGTATGCTTGACGGACCTTTTAGGGTCGAAAATAATACCCTTATGTTCCTTTTAGGGTCAATTTTTCGACGAACAGGAAAAAATTTAAGAAGTGTTAAAAAAGAAAGAGATTTAATTAGCCCCAGCAATCTATCGATATTGATTTTCTACAGCTCTGTTTGTTAAACTTGAGCTTTTCTCTTGTTAAAGACGTCAAAGAGGGCCGTTCGTACCTTCAGGGGTTTGGAATCGATACCTGAATTAATTTATGTGTATCTTTTAGGGCCACTTTTCAATCCATCTGTCAAGCATACCGACCATCTTTTATAAGGGAGTCCCCCCCCCCCTCCCCCAGGTCAATCATGACATAACATAAAATATATTGGGGAACACTTTATCCAACTTACATGAAGTCTTTATTATCACTGAGTCTGGTATCAAGTAGACTTGAATCATAGCCTTTTTCACTGACCAAATATGATACCAAGCTATCATAGATCAACTAACAAAAATAAATAGAACAACATCGGTTTATTGGATCATAATATTCTGTCGATATGAATATTAACTTGTACATGTATATTTAACTTACATTCAACTCAGGAAGCTACAAGTTCCCTTGAACTCTTACTAATAGGGCATTCCATTGAAAACAWTTTATTTATACTATTAAACTTGAATAAAAATCGTGCTTTAAAAAAAAAACAAAATCAGAACTGCGGTTCATGATGAAGAAGCTCAAAGGTTGCATCATAGTTCCAATGTTCCAAGTAATTTCAGGCACTTACCGTATAAAGGTTGCTCAACYTGTACTGAACAACTGTATGGTCAAGATCAAAGCCTATAAAATCGTATTCATTAAGTTTAACCATTATAAAATTGCTATGAAAACGACGACTTCAAACCAGCACGTGTGGTTACACAGGAGTCCCGACAATATAACAGTGATAAAACAGGAAACCCGCAAATCATTCTATTGTAATTTGAAAACGTCTCAAATTGCAATTTGAATTGTTGCAAACATTGCAAAGTAATAACAATATTTCCTTTAGCACTTTTTTCTTAGATAGTTGTTTTTTTGAAATGCTATCTTTGCTATTTTTCACTATTTTTGTATTTTTTGCATCAGGTTCTCGCAGCCATAGTGAAACAGGAAGCCCGCATTGTTTACCTCTTCCGCTTTGCCTTGGCCAATGTCACGAAAATTATGCCCAAAACTTTACGAATTGTTGTGACTGGAGGCAAAACTGTAGGGAAAACAGCTTTAATAGAACAAGCAATATTTGGCGACCATGTTCCTGGTCGGGTAAGACAAATTTTCGTCAATTTGAACAATATTTTGAGCGTGATGATTAACTTTTTGCAAATTTTTGACGCCATTTAGTGCATTAATATTTAATTATTGACATTTTATAGCCGTTGTTTCCAACTATTGAAGATATTTACGAGGTTTTGCTGGAGATAGACAGAGGAATAAAGGAAAGATTTCGTATCTTTGATACAGCAAGCATGGTAAGTTTGATTACCCGACCAGCATCGACCAGCACAGCAACACAACAGATGTAAAGCTTTTTACATCAAGTGGCCCGTGCCAGTCTTTTGCATATTCTTCGCGGAATTTTATTTTATAGGCTATTGTGGCGAGATGCAAACATCATTGTGCCCTTCAAACATGAGAAGCTTAATATCAAATGTGGTGGGGAAATCGTAAAATAGCAAATTTATTAGAGTGGAAGTAACTTTTTAATTTTTCGTCGGTTGGGCTACCCTTGTAAGGGCTGTTCTCACTTCTATCAGTAACTGTTTTTTAAAGTCACTGGCATGCAAGAACTTTTGCAATTAAGCGTTTTGTCTTTATATGGCGGCAATTGTACTATCCAGTTATCACCTATCACCTTGAATATATAAATACCCATTCCGAACTTTTGGGTGCACATGCAGGCAAGAAATTTGCATTAGTTTGGAGTATCAAACCACTA